CTCACTAGTCACTACATAGTCTCTAGTCACTAGTCGCAACTCACTAGTCACTAGTCACTACCCACTACTCACCAATCGCTAGTCACTACCCACTATTCGCTACCCACTTCTTACTACTCACTGCTCACTACTCCCTACTCCCTACTCCCTACTCAGCACTCACTACTCACTACTCACTACTCGCTACTCCCTATTCGTCACTCACTAATCACTACCCACTACTCACTACTGACTACACTCTACCCACTACTCACGACTCACTACTCGCTACTCACTACTCACTACCCACTGCCACTACCCACTACTTTCTGTTCACTACTCATCACTACTCACTACTCACTACCAACTACGCACTACGTACTACTCAATACTCACTACTCACTGTTCACTACTCACTACTCACTACTCGCTACTCACTACTCACTACTCACTAGTCACTACTCACTTCTCACTACTCACTACGCACTACGCACCACCCACAACTCACTACTCACTAATCACTACTCGCCACCCATTACTCACTACCTTCTACTCACTACCCAGTACTCATTACTCCCTACTCCCTACTCAGTACGCGCTACTCGCTACTCGCTACTCAACTCACTACTCGCCACTCACTACTCACTTATCAGTACGCACTAATTACTCACTATTCACTACTCACTACCCCCCACTCCCTACTCCCTACTCCCTACTCGCCACTCACTACCCACTACTCATACTCACTACTCACTACTACTCACTACCCAATACTCACTACTTACTACGCACTAACTCACTACTCACTACTCACCACTCCCTACTCCCAACTCCGTACTCCCTACACGAGGGGGAGGGGGGTTCGACCCCCCCCCCCTCCTTTTCCAGCGCCAAAAGGGGAGGGGGGGGGGTCCGGACCCGAAATGGAACGAATTACAACCGACTTGTCCCAATTCCAACCGTTCGGAGCGAATTGCAACCAGAAACGAGACCAATTCCAACCAGAAATGAAACCAATTACAACCATGGATGGGATCTTCGGAGTTCCTTAGGGTTCCTCCGGTTTCCACGGAATTTCTCAGGATTCCTTCGGATTCTTCGGAATTCCTCCGGATTCCTCTGGATTCTTCGGAATTCCTCAGGATTCCTTCGGTCTTTGGGGTTCCTCAGGATTCCTTCGGATTTTTTGTTCGGAATTCCTCAGGATTCCTTCGGATTCTTCGGAATTCCTCAGGATTCCTTCGGATTCTTCGGAATTCCTCAGGATTCCTTCGGATTCTTCGGAATTCCTCAGGATTCCTTCGAATTCTTCGGAATTCCTCCGGATTCCTGCGGGTTCTTCGGAATTCCTCAGGATTCCTTCGGATTTTCTCGGAATTCCTCCGGATTCTTTCGGGTTCTTCGGAATTCCTCAGGATTCCTGCGGACTCTTCGGAATTCATGAGGGTTCCTACTACTATTATTACGACTATTATCATTACTACGACTACGACTACGATTACGATTGCTATTACTGTTCCTTCGACTTACTACGACTATTACTTCGACTACGACTACGACTACGACTACGACTACGACTACTACTACTACTACTACTACTACTACTACTACTACTACTACTACTACTACTACTACTACTACTACTACTACTACTACTACTACTACGACTACTACTACTACTACTACTACTACTACTACTACTACTACTACTACTAGTACTAGTACTACTACTAGTACTAGTACTAGTACTACTAGTACTAGTACTAGTACTAGTACTAGTACTACTACTACTACTAGTACTACGATTACTATACTACTACTACTACTACTACTACTAGTACTAGTACTACTACTACTACTACTACTAATACTACTACTACTACTACTACTACTACTACTACGACTACGACTACGACTACGACTACGACTACGATTACGACTACGACTACGACTACGACTACGACTACTACGACTACGACTATTACTACTACTGATAGGAGGATCCATCTTGCATATTTTAGAATCGATGCTATTCGGTGCGGTTTTGCTTACGCTTTGGTGCCCTCGTGCTCATCTTAACATAATGCTCCTGTGCAGACCAAAACTAAAGCCAATTCCAACTCTGGCACGTATGTTGGCTCCCAGAACCTCTGCGTTGACATAAGAGGTGCCACTTGGTCTTCACAGTCGTCTTGGGCTTCTCTACAATTAAAATCTTATTGTGATGCTACCCCAAGCAGGTTGGGATTGGGCCCAGTTTGCTTTTCGCACCGGTTGGGATTGGTCCCAATTGGTTGGGATTGGGCCCAGTTGGTTGGGATTCGGCCCACATGCGGTCCGGACCCCCCCCCCCCCTCAAGGGAGGGAGGGGGGGAGGTTCGAGACCCCCCCACCCCCTTTAGTGTATTCTGGGAGATCCACTGGCGCATTTTCCTACGTTTGAACTTTTTGAAACCGCAAACTCCAATTCTCGAGCAGACATGCAATCCACCCACCCGCAACTTGCTGGCTAAACCCATACGGCGCACTGACGCGAAGACCCTTCTCAAGCAGATCCATGACTCGGGCGGGCGAATGGGTGGTGACGACGACTTCGGCGACGGCAACGACGATGACGATAGTTGTGGCGCTGATGACGAAGATGACGAAACCGAGGATACGGATGACGATGGCGAAGTTGATGGTGATGGTAGTGATGATGAAGGCAACTATGATGATGATGGCGACTGTGATGATGGCGTCTGATTTGACAGAGTTGGCGGGTGCGCGATGACTCTTGAATGTTTCCGACATGCACGCGCGTGTGACCCGCATGGTCTCTTTCCGCAGAACGGCAAAAACTTGTTTCTCGTATGGGTTCAACGAATGCGCGCGTACTGAAATTAGATCAATGTATATTCAGAAAACAACGCTTGTTTATAGGTTGTGGTTGGCACGATGTGAGCATCAAACGTTTTGGGATGACATTGGTATGTGCGCGCGCCGCATGGAATTGTTTGACACGGGTTCTTTTACAAGGTGCGTTTTAATAAACGCGTGTAGCCGCATGGCTTTTGACGAAGACGACGAGTGGGGTCGACGCCAGTGGGCTGCGCATAGTATTGTCGCGATTGTTCACAGTAGATATGAGAATATGAAAACTAATTGGAAACGCCAGACGGACAAGTACGGCCTCGGCATGCGGGCAGAGTCAAATGTTCTTTAGACATGGATGTACAGGGCGCAGGCTATGCGGCACCATCTGAAGTGCAACCTATGTGGTGCAACCTATGTGGCGCAATAGATTGTCGAAACTCTGAAAATCGTCAACTCCACTGCTTGTGCAAACATCCCACCCTCCCACCCGCAAGTTGGTGGCAAAGCTCATGGCCATGATCTCAACGAGCGCACGGGCGCGTGGGACTCAATCGCGCAGACAAGTCCGTCCTCCGGGTCGCGATATGGTGGTGGCGATGGTGACGGCCGCGACGCCAACGACGATGGCGATGTGCGATGACAGTGGTGATAACGCTGATGCCGATGGCGATGAGAGTGATGGGGACGACAACGATGGTAATAGTGGTGAACTGATGATAATGTCAATGACGGTGGCAACGATGACACTGGCGATGATGATGACGATGATGTTGGTGATGCTGACGACGACGACCACCACCACCACGACGACGACGATGATAATGCTGCTGCAGTTGCTGTTGCTGATGCTGATGCTGAGATTGATGCTGACAATGCTGATGATGCTGATGATGATCAAATGCCCGCGCGCAGAACTTTGACGAGGGCGACGACGTCGACATTGACGACGATGACGGCCGCGCAGATGATCGCGACGATGGTTATGATGATGATGCTGCTGCCGACGATGATGATGATGACGATGGTAATGATGACGATGACGATGATAATGCTGGCACTGACGTTGATGATAACGATTGCGTTGATGAGGATGATGTGAAATTGCGCGCCCGCGGAAATCAAGGCATCCCGACATGATTTCGACGTGCGCGCGCGAAGACATACGCGTGTGGCCCGCATGGTAGTTTCTGACAGGCTTGGTGGACGCGCGATGGTTGTTGAACGTGTTCGGCATGTACGCAAGCCATGTGGAACAATCTGAAATGCAAGCTATGCGGTGCAACCTATGTGGTGCACTATATCGTGTCCAAATCATGGGTTGCAGCCTCTGTAACGCAATCTTTGTGGTGCCAACTATGTGCTCCAAATTCGGGACACCGCACGCCAGAACATGTAAGTACGGAAACAGCTGAGAACAACAGAGTGGATGATATAGTGAGGCCATCGCGGGCCTCACACCCGAAGTAGCAGTCAAATTGCGTATGTAAACCAACCTTGACGATAACACGGCGGCAGATCAGACGTCTGATGACATTACCATCACATCTAGAGCCATATCTACTGACATTCCTGATCCGATCAGGGGCTCTGAGGGCAACATCCTCGGGAACCAGGCACGCACTCGGCCGAAAAGATTGGGACGACATCAGAAGAACAGAAAGAACACTCTGCTGCAAGGCGACACTCGGAGGGAGCTGCTGGGGAATACGAGTTTCACGCCTTCTACTGTGCTGCAACATAAGACGAGCAAATTAACTGGCAAAACTGTTTTTTCGCAATCGATCGGACATGGTACCGATATCGTCAGAAATCATAGTACGGTGATGTTGGTGATGAAATGATGGTGATGCTATGATGATGGTGCTGATGATGGTGCTGACGATGACGATGACGATGACGATGATGATGATGATGATGATGATGATGATGATGATGATGGTGATGAGCGAGCGCCTGATGACGTCTGCCCGCCCACAGCCTTCTCATCGGCTGTGGCTGGGCAACAAGAAATATATCGCACGCATGTGCCAGAGAGGGTCGACACGCTTCACATGTGGCATTCACGCTCAGACTATCACAAATGTTGCTCGACTTCAAGGATGGAGGCCTAAGAATCAGGCATACTGAACCACAAGCATGCGGAACAACACATGGGAATGTCGCGCCTCAAATGCCGTGACCAGAGCCCTCTTCAGCGCTGGCTCGTGCGGGTTCGTGTACTCCTCCCCATGTGCCTTCGGTGGAAAAAGACAAGCTGGAGCCCGCTCCTGCGATTGTCCAGCTCCTGCTGCTCATGCAGACCGTTCTCCAGGCGACCCTACTTTCTCGTCTCCCCTCCTTCCCAACCCTCTGCCAAATCACGCTCGGCCACGTCGACTCGCGTACCTGATGGCATTTCCAAGGCTGCCCGTGTCTGCTCTTCCTCCCTCTTTGTCTCGTCCTCATCCTCATCCGCATCATTTCAACTTCGCTCAATCCTCTCCAACATCCCACATTCCCCTCAACGTCCTCCTCCTCCTCTTCCTCCTCTTCCTCCTCCTGCTCTCTGTATCATCGTTCTCTCTCTCCTCCTCCACCTCCTCCCCCCTCCTCTCCTGTCCCGACAAGCCAGCGGATCAGTGGCCCGTTAAGTCGACGGGCCAGGGTCTTCTCATATTCGGTGGCCTGCCAGCGTGCTGGGTCCACCCCTGGGCACCCTGGCGCAACGAAAGCTGAAGAGCATGAACGCAAGCCGACCATCTCTTCCCCAATCGAACTGGCCGAGGCGTGTGCCACCCCCTCCCCCCTCCCTGATGGTATGCATGTATGGGTAAGCTGAATGCTGTTTCAGTTGCCCCGCCATTGGGAAGTAGCAGCAGGAAGGGAATGAGGACGTGGACGAGAACGATGACGCGGGGGCGATGAGGACGAGGATGGCGAGGACGACGAAGACGGGGGGAATGGACACGACCCTTCGAACATCAAGCGTCGATTGCCCTGGCCAATCCGCATTCCTGCTTCAGGCCTCTTCATCATCCACCTTTACTCTTACCTGTTCCTCGTAGTCCTCCTTCACGCCTTCCTGATTCACCTCGTCCCCCTTGCTAACTTATTTCGTCTGGTCCTCGTCGTTCTTGTCTACATGATCGACCTCGGTCTCCTCGTCGCTGTCGTCGTCGACGTCACCAACTGCCGTTCCTCCTCCGCGCTCCTCCTCCTCCACCTCATCGTCATCATCATCAGTATCAGTATCATCATCATCATCATCATCATCATCATCATCAGCATCATCATCAGCATCATCATCAGCATCGTCGTCGTTATCAGCATCATCATCAGCAGCAGCAACATCATCATCACCACCACCACCATCATGATCAGCATGGCTACAACCACCATCAATCAGCAGCATCAGCAGCATCATCGTCAGCAGCAGCAACAGCATCAGCATCACCAGCAGCAGCATCATCATCCTCATCAGCATCGCCATCAACATCAACAGTATCACCATCAACATCAATAGCATCACCACCATCATCAACAGCATGAGCAAGCTCATCATCAGCAGCAGCATACTCATCAACATCATCCGCATCAGCATCGTCAGCCTCACCACCATCACCATCATCAGCATCAGCAGCATCATAATCCTCATCATCATCAGCACCAGCAACAGCATCAGCATCGTCATGTGCATCCTCATCCTCATCCTCACCATCATCCTCGTCCTGATCCTCATCAAAATCGCAATCACATTGACCATCATCAGCATCATCAGCATGATCATCCTCAACCTCGTCATCATCATGAGCATCATCCTCCTCCTCCTCTTCCTCCTCCTCCCCCCCTCCTCTTCCTCGTGGTCACCATCATCATCATCATCATCATCATCATCATCAGCATCATCATCGTCATCATCATCATCATCACAATCAGCATCATCATCATCATCATCATCATCATCGTCATCATCTTCATCATCATCATCATCATCGTCATCACCATCATCATCACCAGCAGCATCATCATCCTCATCAGCATCGTCAGCATCATCCTTTCAAGCATCATAATCATCATCGTCATCATCACCATCATCATCATCCTCATCCTCATCCTCATCATCCCAAATATCATCATCAGCAGCAGAACCATCATCAGTAGCGTCCTCCTTATCGTCATCGTCAGCAGCATCATCATCAACAGCATCATCATCGTCATGGCCACCAACACGATCATCATCAGCAGCAGCAGCAGCATCATCATCATCATCACCACCATCATCATCATCATCATCATCATCAGCATCATCGGTATCACCATCATCATCAACAGCGTCATCATCAGCATCAATATCATCATCAGCATCAGCTGCATCCTCATCAGCAACATCATCATCAGCAGCAACATCATCGTCAGCATCGTCCTCATCACCATCATCATCCTCATCCACCTCTGTATCATCAGCAGCAGCAGCATCATCAGCATCATCATCATCATCATCATCATCATCATCATCATCCCCGTCCTGATCCTCATCATCATGACCAGCATCATGACCATCATCATCATCATCAGCATCATCATCATTATCGGCATCATCATCACCAGAATCACCCTCATCCTAATCTTCACCATCATCATCACTATCATCGCCGTCGTCATCATCATCGCCATCCCCATTTGCATTGTTATCCTCCTCCATTTCCCTCATCCTTTCCCACCCGCCCGCCTCCTTCTCCTCTCCCTGCTCCACCCCTTCTCTCTGCCCTCACCTTCGCCCTTCCCCTCTATCACTCTCCCTCCCCATCACATCCTCGCCTCCTCATCCCCCTCCTCCTTACACTCCCCCTCCCGCTCCCAGTCCCGCTTATTATCTATTTCCCTTCTCTCCTCCCGCCCACCTCCTCCCACCCCTCACCCTGGCCATCTTCCTCCATCCCATCTCCTTCTCGCTTCGTCCCAAAACGTCCGCGTCCCCCTTCTCGTCATCAGCCGACTACTGATGCTGCCGCTCCCCCCCGCCTCATCCACCCTCCCCTTCCTCCACCCTCCCTCCCACTCCTCCCACTCCGTCGCCCCCTCTCCCACGTCGGTGGCCCTGACGAGGTCTGGGGAGAGGGTGCCGAAAGACGCCCCTGGTCTCAGCAAGGCCAGACGGTGCAAGCCCGAAATGTTTTGCGGCTACTCCAGGGGTGGGAGGGCTGTGCTCGGGGAGAGGCAGCAGCACCGCTCAACGATGTGTTATGAACCGAGCCTCGCAGGGTGGCCCTGTCCCGAATCCGTGCTGCGGTGCAGATCGTAAGCGCGCCTCGTCTCGGTCGTCGTCGTCGGCGTCGTCTTAGTCATGGTGCGTGTTGCTCTGCTCGGGACTCGTTTCCTTTACGCAGTGGCCACCACCCACCCACCCACCCACCCACCCACCCACCACCACCTCCTCTTTCTCTTCCTCTTCCGCATGCTTCTGCTGCTTCCCCTATTCCTCCTTTTCCTCCTCCTCCTCCTCCTCCTCCTCGTCCTCCTCCGCCGCCGCCACCCTTCTCCCACTGACGACGAAGTAAGGCAGGATGAAACCCAAATCGGGCATGGTATAAATCGGGAATCTCTGAGGACGGGTCTCGAGGATGCATCGGGCGCCCCGGCCGTTTCAGAGCGCACCAGTACTCTGAGAACACTCCTGAACGCCATGGAGCGATGTATGCTCGTCCTGGGCCTGACAGAACCCCCTTCGAATCTGGCCGCCCCTCCCCCGTCCCCCAGGCAACTGACACAGAGCTATCGCCCCTTCCGGCCTCGTAGTAGCCGCCAGAGCCGAGCTCGCCGTACGCGGCGCGGATGGACCCGAAGCCCCCGGCGCAGGGGCGCTCGGGGCCATCGGCTGCCTCCCCGCTGCCGAGGGGCAGATCCACTCCTCCCCCCATCCCGCAGAAGGCACCCATGCACCACCACCGTGCCGGGCCAGGTCCTGGGCCCTGGCATGGTGTGTGCGCCCTCCTGGCCGAGGCCACGAGGGTCTATACACCCTCCCAGGGCCCAGGATGGTCTCGGTTATACATGTTGGTGTATGGCTCTCATCCTGACCCTCCTCCGCCCCTCTGCCTCCAAGCTCCACCTTCCCCCAGCAGAGGAAGCGCGATGGCGCCCGTTGTGTGCAGGGACCGCGGGCCGCGCGGCGGGGTCAGCGAGCGGCGCCGCTCGACCGTCCCCATCAGGCAGCGCCGTCGCGTAGCGATTGGAGCTGCCGCGCATGCTTTGTGCCATCGCTCGGTCCATGCCGCTCCGTGCAGTGTCGGTTCTGGTGGCGCTGCGCGGATGGCCAGGATGGCTCCACTGGCCATCGCATATCGCCTGTGCTGCGTGCTGCTGCCATTGGTGAAGTCGCCGTCGCCGATGTCCTTCGTCCAGGGTGACGCCTGCAGCCGTAGCTGTTCCATCTGGCCTTGCATGCACCCCTCACGTCACTGCCAGGTGGACAGTATCTGTATGCACGCGTGGGAACATGCTTCACGATAGGGGTGCAACTCGGCTGCGCAGTGGTATGCTCTGCACACACGGCGCTGGGGCGAGCGCTAACACACCGGTCCCTTCCCACAAGCAGGAGTGAGCGCTCTGGCGCCAGTACAGAGTTGTGCTGGAAGTGAAGCTGTGGGTTTGTTTCGTCGTTCCAGCGCACGGGTTCTCACTGTCCGTCGGTATAAGGTCACGGGCTGCTGCTGGAGATGTGGAACCCAGCGTGCGCCCCGGCGTCGCGGGTGCTTAGTCGGGCTGCGCGTCGACGCCAGGCGCGCCACCGGGCGACGGCTCGCGGGCAGAAGGATTGTGCAAGTCGTGTCAAACCCAGTCTGTTCAGCAAGCTTGTCGTTCTCGCCTTGCGCGGGCCTTTCGAATGAAAATCAGCCGCTGGAAACCAGATGCCATGCGACCGCGGGCACTCTTGTCGTAATTAGCTGTGCCCGATTGCGCGCTGATATCGGCTAATAGCTGACACTTTGAGCAATTGCTCTTGAGTGCTCGATGAAACTGAGCCTGTTCCCCCGAAAAGGCTTTCACTTGAGGGGGTCGCACTTGCCCTCTTAGGAGCTGGACCGCGGTGCATTCGGCTGCTTCGGTCGGTCTGTATGGCTGATGACATATGCGTTGGCGCCCTATGCTTAGCCGTCCGTGTCGCAGTCGGCCTTTCCCAGCCAATACCCCATGCCTGGTGCACTAATCCGCCTCCGTGCCGTAGGTACTGAGTGGAGTGTTCTCATGGCCCTTCGAGTGTTCTGCACTGAATCTTATCAAAACGTTCCAATGGGGCCAAATCCCAAACCGACGGATTTCTTTTGGCGTGGCGCGTGACTTCTGGGGTGTGTCGCGTGACTGTCCTGAGGCAAGAGAGCTCCAAAACAAGCCAATTGGTTCGCAAGAAGGCCTCAGCACGATCCAAGAGCCTTCGATACTGCCCAAGAGCGCTCCAACGGCCAAAGAAGGACTCCAGGCGGCGCATCAGGCCACCGCGACGCCCCAAGAGGGCTCCACGGTGACCCCGCAGAGGGCCCCACGAGGCGAAAGTCACTGATCTTCCACATGTGTTTGTAAGATTATAGCGCTCTCGCCCTTTCGGACGTCAGGCCCGACGGTCAAGGAGACCCACAATACGGCCCAAGAAATTTCAAAGAGGGCGCTCAGAGGGACACCAGAGGGGGGAAAGCGAAGGGGCCCCTGGTCAAGGGAACCCTCTGTCCCTCGGGACCTCCACGCTCTTTCCTTCGACGACGACGACGACGACGACGACGACGACGACGACAACGACGACGACGACGACGACGACGACGCCGACCCCCTCAACCCTCGGGACCCCCCGGTCACTCGGACCCCCCCCCTCCAGAGACCCCAAACCTCTCCGGATTCTCCCTCCGGACCCCCCAGACCTCTCGGGAGCCCTCCGGACCACTCCTCCAGCGAGCCGTCGTCGTCGCCCTCCTCCCCCTCCTGCTCCTTCAACTGCTGACGCACTCCTCTCCTTCCTGCTCCTCGCCGGCACGGACAACTCAAGCAGCACCGAGCGGGGCCCCCTTCCCCCGTGTAGACTCTTGGCATAACCGCCTTCGGCCTGGGTGGGCCTGAGGGTTCCCAGGGGGTCCTGGCTTCAGCCAACATGTGGTGGCCATCGGGTGCCCCCCCGTGCACGGGGCGCCAACAAGTGCCGAGCCACGCCGAGCCAGAACAAGCGGAGCTGAGATGAGCTGAGCCAGAGCGATCGGACAAAGCTGCTCAAAGCTGAGCGAAGCTCGGAAAAGCTCTCAGTTCTGGCCGCGGCTAGCGAGCACACACCCGACCGTCTGAGGCAAAACTGCTCGGACGATTGCCTGCGCCGTGCAAAGTGCGAAGATGGAGGCCTCCCAAATGGGGTCGGAACATTCCTCTTCTTATATGTTTACAAGCCGGGGGAGGGGGGGGGAACCCGCCAGCCCCACCCCCAACAAAAACTACTGTCGGGGACATTCTGGCCCAGGTCAATCCAGACCCGGGTCAGTCAGGCCTTGCAGAATCCTGCAAGATCCTGCAAGATCCTGCACCAAAACCCGTGTCAATGCGAAGGATCCTGCAAGATCCTGCAGGATCCTGCACCCAAGGCTGGGTCAGTGCGCTGGCCCTGCAGGATCCTGCAAGATCGGGCGCTCTGGCTGACCCCCGTTTGCATTGACCCCCGTCTCAAGGCTCCCGATACTGGACCCCCAGGATCGGGGGTTTCCGGGGGCATCCGACATCTTTGCCAAAGGTCCCCCGGCTCGTCCTGGACCTCCCAGGGCGTTTAGCCGGGTCCTGCCAGCAGGCCCTAAGCGATCAGAGCGGTGATCAGAGAAGAGAGACCCAAGACAGCACAAGAGCGCTCCAAGAAGGACCCAGATAGCCTCCAGAGGCCCCCAAGACGGCCCAGGAAGCCCTCAGCAGGACTCCCAGAACGCAAACGTCGCTTCATTCTCTTAGGGAAACGTTTTCAGCGCATTCGCTGTTCGGGTCTGAGCAGCGTCCACAACAGCCAAAAAGGCCTCCAGTATCGCCCCAAGACGGCCCAAGAGACCTCCAAGAGAGCCTCTAGACGGCCTGGATGGCCCCAAGATTGCCCAAGGAAGCCCCAACTGAGCCAAAAAGAAGCCCGACAGGCCCTCACAAGGCCCCAAGCGATCAGAGCGGTGGTCAGACAGGCCGAAGAGAGACCCAAGACAGCACAAGAGCGCTCCAAGAAGGACCCAGACGGCCTCCAGAGGCCCCCAAGACGGCCCAGGAGGCCCTCAGCAGGGCCCAAGAGACCCCCAAAAGAGCATCTAGACGGCCTGGATGGCCCCAAGACTACCCAAGGAAGCCACACATGAGCCAAAAAGAAGCCCGACAGGCCCTCACAAGGCCCCGAAGCGATCAGGGCGGTGATCAGAGAGGCCAAAGAGAGACCCAAGACAGCACAAGAGCGCTCCAAGAAGGACCCAGATAGCCTCCAGAGGCCCCCAAGACGGCCCAAGATTCCCCCAAGAGAGCCTCGAGACGGCCTGGACGGCCCCAAGACTGCCCAAAGAAATCCCCAATGAGCCAAAAAGAGGCCCAACAGGCCTTCACAAGGCCACCAAGAGAAACCCAAGGAGGCCATGGGAGGCCCCCCAAAAGGCCATGGGATGCCAACACGTAGCCCCCGTAACGTCCCTAAAGGGCCCAAGCTCCCCAACACGGCCCAAGATAGGCCCAAGATGGCTCGAGACGGCCCCAAGCCGGCCCACCAGGGCTCCAACAAGGCCCACACGGCGTTTTCCACCAAACTAACCCGAATTCCGGGCTCGCAACCACAAATCCCGGAAATCTGTTGCGAACCCAGGATTGGGTGCATTCCCCAAGAATTACTTGCGTTCGCGTGCCCCGTTGCGACCCGCTGAAACCCGCTGCAACATTTTTCGCCGTCCCCCGAAGGCGCCCTCCTCTTCCTTCTCCTCCTCCTCCTCTTCCTCCTCCTCCTCCTCCTCCTCCTCCTCCTCTTTCTGCCGCTCCACCACTCGTCCTCCCCCACATCCGCTTCCTGTCCTCGCTCCCCGAGATTCTCTCACTCCTTTCCTTCGCCCTCCACCCGGCGCCTTTCGAGAGCCCCCAGGGGCCCGGGAAGGGCCAGGGATCGCCCGAACTTTCGAAGACTTCTGAAAACCAACGCAGGGAAGGGGCCAAATTTCGAAGGCCACTAAGGATGACGCGAACGACCAACAGATGCAAAGCCTCAAGGACCAAGGTGCACGGCGCGAAGCGCCAATGCAGTCTTGTATACATATATGTGTATATGTATACAGATATACATATATACACTATACATACACATTGAAATATACATAAGCATAGACATACATATAGATATATGCACACACGTCCATCAAGTTCTACATACTCTAACACAAATATAGCTATACTAATAAAGTGAATACTTACTTACATGGAAAACTGATCCAGCTAGACCTGCGTCCCGCTGGGGGCCGCTGGGTCCCGAGCGCGCCTGGTAGGCCCAAGACGGCTCCTGATGGCTTCCAGAGGGCCCCAAGGTGGGCCAAGAGGGCTACACGCCGCCCACAATGGCCCCAAGACAGTCCCAGAGGCCCCCTTGTCGCCCCAAGACACCCCAAGAGGCCTCCCAAGGGAGCCCCAGTAGGCCGAATTCGCCAAATTCCTTTCGTAATACGTACATGTTCAGCATCAACAACTTCTCACCTTCCCGACGCTCCAAGGCGGCCCAAGATGCCCCCCAGATCGCCCCAAGACGGCCCAAGAGGCATTCAAGAGGCCCCCACGACGGCCCAAGAGGGCCCCAAGACGGCCCAAGAGGCGCCAAGACGGCCCAAGGGGGCCCCCAAACGGCCCCCGAGAGGCACCAAAGACCCGTATAGAGGCCCCCAACAGGTCCCAGCTCCCCAAGAGGCCCCCCAAAAGGCCCCAAGAGATACCAAAACAGCCCCCAAGAGGGGTCACAACTGCGTCCGAAAAGTACCCTGCAAGCCTCTTGGGCCCCCTGGATTAGTGCGGCGACGGTCAGATAAACAATATGTATATATATGTATGTATATACACACTTACATAGCTATGTGTAAATATGTGTGTAGATAGAAATGTGTCTCACATATATATATATATATATGTATATATACATATATATATACACATATACATATATATGCGCACATCAACACCAGCCGGACAGTCTTCTAAGTACGCTTGCCTTCAGGCTCCACACATGGGGTCAGGGTAGATGGGATCGGAGGATCGCGCCACATCACCAACGCATCGGTGATGCATCGCGGACGGCGACATGGAGAAGAACGGGGTCGGTATCGCGCCATATCGCCGATGCATCGGCCATGCGGCGCGATACTCCGAACCCGTCTACTTCGATCCCGATTGGGGGGTCTGGAGAAGAAGTCTCCCCGCTCCTGGCCCCATCGATGGGGTACCATTATCCTGCTTGCCATGAGCTTTCTCTCACATACATCGCGCGGCGCCGCCAAAGCCCAGCCCGAGGCCGCCGCGCCTGGTCCTCACGCGGTGCCCGGGCTGAGGAGGCCGAGGACTGCTGCAAGCAAGACGAGGAAGACGGTCTCTCTTACAGACTCGCCTCCACGCTCTCGCAAGCGCCGACCCTCTCTCTGCAAACCATCCTCCCGAGAAGAGCCTTGCGCACGATGCCGGTGGCACCGAGCCTCTTCTGGTAGGATGTTGCCGAGCGGGCCAGCGTTGGTGGGAGCAAAGAAGCGGGTCCATCTACTTCTAGGAGCACGCGTCTGATCCAGCGCGGGGAGGAGAAGTGCTCGAACAGAATGCCAGACCTCGCCCCTGGGATCCCGCGGTGCCCATCGACGTCACCCCGTCTTTCGAGCACCCAGCCTCGGCATTCGTTTAGATGCATATTGGGTTCAAGCGCCCCAGCCCAAATTTAAGACTTCGTCTCTCCGCGCTGGTGTGCGCGTGTCACAGAAGCTCGCCCGGCGCTCGCTCACCGCATGTCTGCAGACATAGAGAATCATAAGAAGACCGCAACCGCCCTCAGCGGGGCTTCTTCATGGGAGTTGGCAGCTCCACAACCTCCAAAATCTTGGTGTACACATCAAACGGCGGCAAATCGTTCTCACGCACCCTTTCGACCTCGCGCTCTCCCACGACCTTGAACTTCGTGTGCGGTGGCAGCAAAACCTCAGTCGAGCCACCTAGAAAGCGGCCGATCCTCACAGGGGCAAAGATCTCCTCCGCGTCCATGGTCCTCGGATCGATATTGCATGCTATCTCAAAGTGGAGATTCCCTTCGAAGGGCCACAGACCTCCCTGGTCTCCCTCGTCCATCTGACACGACGTGAAGGCTGGCCAGCTGAATTCCATACCGACCTTGTACTCATTAGCCACCGCTTCCACCTGGTCTTGTGGTAAGTCCAGCCCTCGCACGAGCTGACCCATGAAAGGCTTGCACTTACGGCCTTCGGGGGTGCAGATCTTGTCCCTCTGGAACTTCAAGATGTGGCGGATTTCCCAAATCATCGGGGCCAGGCGACGCATGGCGTCCTCGTTATCCTCGCGCAGGGCCTTGTTGATGTCCTTGAACATGCCTGAAATACCCGTGCTCGACTCGACCCGACCGCACTAACACGTCAGGTGCAAAACTGCTCTGGACACTCCTGTGGATATCCTGCCAGTCCGCTTGCGCCAGGGCACCCTCCCCACGCACGACCAGGAGAAGTCCAGAAGACCGTCAATGTTCGAATCGCTCCTGCCCCTTCGGACTCTGGTCTGAAATCGACGATACTCCGCCGATAGATCAGCGATAGGCCTTCGATAGAGAATCCGCATATTCCTGGGCGGGGTGGGCCATCGGGCCCGTATATCGGGGATAATTATGCGATTGGGGGTCGCTGCATCACCTCCTGCGCCAATCCCCCTCTAACGTTGCCACTGACTTCCCTCGTGCGCCCGAACGCCCCTGACCGAGGTCGCACAAAAACCTGTCCCTGAAGCGCCGCCACATGAGCTTTGCCCGGGCGTCCAAGCTGGGAGCCCAGAGCCAGGGCGACGGGGGTGTGGCGTCCCCACCAGTGGACCAGATACAGTCATAATGCTACCATAAGGAACGCAGAATAATCAACGAAGGGGCTGCTCTGGCCACGGCAAGCCTCGGCCACGAATAGGTCCCCGACCCAGGTCTAAGGAACGGCCCGAATACCAGAGCCCCTCCTGGGCCCGAAGTGGTTCTGATTTCTGCGTCTTGGCTGTAAGGCCGTGAGCGCCAGCGCACAGGCGGGCCAGGTCCGAGCCGAGCCGAGTTCGGGGCTGCCCGGCACCGCTAGCCAGCGTGTACATGGAGGCTACCTTCTGGTCACGCTCGAAATGGCCAGGGGGCTCGGGCCAGATCTGCCACTCCGGGTTCGGGTGGTACGGAGAGATGCACTGGGTGAGGTCCCGGAAGCCCGTCGGAGGGGGCCCCTCGCTGAACGGCTCGTTGCTGGGGTCGTTCGGGTCGTAATATTCCACGCACTTCAGGAATGCCTCGGAGCGCTCTGTGGAGAGCGCCCGCCTGAAAGGGAGATTAAAACTGGCAATGGCAGAAACTTTCCCTGAGCGGGCTCTGGCGCAGAGGCGCCCCATGAGTCCGCTCTGACCCTCGCGGGTTGTCGTCTACGAGCTGTCCAGCCGTGTACCTCACCAGAGCCCGCCAGTACATCCCTGCCTTCTTGAGATGTTGTTCCCAACCATCCCGTGGTGTTGGGTTTTCGTTTTGAATCCGCAGCGCCCTGCGTTTCCCTACGAATGGCCCTCCTCCCCCCTTCCCTCCTCCCTCCTCCCCATCCCTGACCCTGCCCTCCTGCGCGCGTCCATTTCGGCACACCCCTCACATCTGTCGTGGCCACATAGGGAGCTCCACTGAAGGCCCCAGTGGCAGGGTTCGCATGGCGGCTCCGCCCCATGTCGGCGCACCCCTCGCACGTTTTGTGGCCCCACAGGAAGCTCCGCGGAAGGCACCAATGGCAGGGTTCGCATGGCGGCCCCGCCCCAGGTCGGCGCACCCCTCGTACGTTTCGTGGCCCCACAAGCAGCTCAGCCAAAGGCCCCAGTGGAAGGGTTCCCATGGCGGTGCCGCCCCATGTCGGCGCACCCCTCGTAGATTTCATGGCCCCATAGGAAGCTCCATCGAAGGCCCCAGTGGCAGGGTTCGCATGCCGGTGCCGCCCCATGTCGGCGCACCCCTCACACGCTGTGTGGCCCCATAATGACACCGAAGGCCTCAGCGGCAAAGTCCACCACTTCGGCACACCCTTCATACGTTTCGTGGCCTCATAGAAATCTCCCCCAAAAGCGGTACCCACAATGCGGTAGATACAACTGCATGTGGTTAGGTCCTTCGCCAAGACAATGTTGTCCTCCGTGCGCCTGGCTGCCCTCCTGGCCCCCGCGCGCGATGGCCGAGGTCCGCCCACCCAGGCGGCCGACCCGCCCAAGGCAAACGGGCGCAGCTCTGCCAACGCCGCCAACGCCGACAGCGCCGCTGCGGCCGCCACGGCCCTCGCAGCCGTAGGGGAGCGCATCTACGGATAGAGATGCGAGGCTGGCCCGCGGGGGCTAGCCAGAGTTCCCCTGATCGCACTGCGGTTTGGGCCGCGGCGGCTGGCACACGGGTGAACAACGAGAGGAGAAGCAGCAAAAGGGGCGATTCAGTCAGGGAGTGCAGATGGGGATGGGGGCCCGAGCACGACCCACGGTTGTGTGGACAACGTGGGGAACACAATCCGACCACCCGCACCATCATACACGTCTGCATGGTCAATGGCATCGTCATGATCGTTCGCATCGTTACCATCGTCATCAGCCTGATCAGCATCGCCATCAGCAAGCATCGTCATCCGCATCGTCATCGCCATCTTTATCGTCATCATCATCATCATCATCATCATCATCGTCATCATCATCATCATCATCATCATCATCCTCATCATCCTCATCATTATCACCACCATGATCATCATCGTCACCATCACCATGGCCATCGTCATCACCATCGTCATCCGCCGCAGCAGCAGTAGCAGCAGCAGTAGCACCAGCAGCAGCACCATCCTCATCACTAACCTACTCGCCATCATAAGTGTCCTCAGAACCAACACCACCATCAAACCAATCGCCACCACCACACGAAGATCCATCGTCACCACCGCGGTCACCATCACAACCATCATCACCACCACTACCATCATCATCAACAACAGCATCACCATCACCGTCACCAGCACCATCACCACCACCGTCACCACCACAGTAATCCTCATCATTGTCCTCATCCTCATCGTCGTCATCCTCATCATCACCATCAGCATTACCATCCGCATCATCATCATCATCATCATCGTCATCATCATCATCATCATCATCAGCATCATCATCACCATCATCATCATCATCATCATCATCATCATCATCATTATCATCAGCATCATCATCATCACCATCGTCATCACCGTAAGCATTGTCGTCATCCTCATCACCACCACCATGGTCACCAGAATCACCAGCACCACCGTCATCATCGAAAACACAATCGGCAGGTCATCGTCACCATCGCTGTCACCATCACCACCACCACCGCCATCACCACCATCATCATCATCATCACCACCGCCATCAGCATCAGCATCAGCATCATCACCGTCGCAGTCAAAATCGTCACCTAACTAGAAACAATACAACCAACACAAACAATATAACAACTGCGACATCAACGACAACTCGCAAACCACCGCATGTCTCGAAAGCCTGACTGCCGAGCACACACGGTGTCGGCCGGCATGGGAGCATAAGAGATCACAAAGACGATCGACAAATATATCTGGGCACGCTCGGAAGCACCCGAGATTCACTACAGTCCTTGGGCGCGCCAGTGCCCCACAAGCCATAATGGTTGCGGAGTGCACGTTTGTCTCATAGGGCACGCAGAGGTGAGGGGAGAGGAAGTTAAACAAAACAGCGGGTCCACTTTCACTGGGACAGGAATGAGATCACAGACGCCCTCACCAGCCTCCCGAACATCCTTGACTATCACAGAGCCTCTCCAGCCTTTGCCAATTCTCGCCTTGAGGCCTCAGGAGATCGGCTCTTGAGGGAATTGTTTTGAACTCGCTCTGATAACTGCCTTTCTTCATCTACGAGGAGCAACATTCCACAGTACAACAATTCTGTGAACGCTCGATGTCCTCGACCTGGATATGATTTTGTCAGGGCGTCGGCCGCAACGCGGCCGTGCGGGACCCATCTGATTTGAATGCCTACCGAACTCATGGCATCACGGACTACTGCTAATTGTATAGCGGCACGGTGGTCCTGCTTTGACCTGGCACTGTTACGGCTTAGCGCATCGAAGACGCGTTTGGCGCCCACAACAGACAACGAGGACACACATTCGGCCAACGAACAGGAATAACTCATAATCACGGAGAAGGGGACCTGGCTTAGATGCCGAGGGGGCGAACAACATTATGAAAAATGGCGCCCCGTCACGTCGCCTGCAACCACTGGGTTTTTCCTAGGGCGGCGGGAAAACTGAAAGTTTCGGCCGCGCTCGTAGACGACGCGACTCGCATGGGGCGGATTGACCTCCAGGCAAGCAACGAGGCCTTCGCCCTCCGGTTTTTCCTAATATCTGCATCCGCCGCAACGATGACAAAAGGCTCCCTGCGCACCATCCCTCCGAACCGAACCCAGCGCGCCGGCGTCCGAGACGGTCGCGAACGTGACCTCGAGAGGGTCCAGGGGCCAAATCGAAACCCTCTGGGAGGCCGACGACTTCAGATGACGAGTTATGTTGCAGCACAGCACGGTGCCATCGAGCGCGGGCGTTGGCAGGGCGGCAGACTGAGAAGAGGCACCGCCTGCGACGCCTCGGCGTGTCTCGCGACCGACCCACTGAATCTGAACGACCATAGTCCTGCACGCTCGCACTTCATCGGGCGACAGGAGGGAAGAGAGAGGATCCGCTCGCCGATTCTTTTCAATGCGCATGGGCGTCTACTGTTCGAGAATATATCTATCCCGATCAACTCATGCTAACCAGCGTGGGCCCTAAACAGTAGGTTCTTGCAGTCTACGCGGTGCAATCTATCTGATACAGTGTATGCGATGCAACCTATGTAGTGCAGTCTACGCGGTGCAATGATCACGGTGCAATTTACGCGGTGCATTTATTCAATGCTCAAATTGAAATTGTCCACTCCACTGCTCGCGCTTAAATCCCACCCACCCACTCGCAACTTGGTTTGCAAACCCCATTGCGGCGGCGATTGCGATAAGTGCTTGGCGCTGGCCAGTGCATCCCTGCGGCCGCGACAACCCGCGCATGCACGCGCGCGCATGCACTGTGGCGCGACCGACGCGCGCGCGGTGGTGCTGACCGTTGGGCGCATCCCAGGGGGGCACTTCCGTGCGATTCGGCGACTTGGACGGGCGCGGCACCATGGCAACGTCGACAACGGTAGACACGGTGATGATAGTAGCGATGCTGGCGACGGTGCTGACAGCGACGACCACGGCCAGCGCGGGCGCCGCGATGCTGGTCGTGCCGGCGGCGATGACGGCGCCCTCGCGTCGGTGATGGAGGTCTTGGGAAGAGTTCGACATGCGCGCGCGGCCGACGCGCGAGAGTGGTCCGCATGGTTTTTTTGACGCGGATCGGCCCCCCCCCCAACACGCGCGCAAGGGCTGCAATGTCCGCATGCGGCGCCAGAGAGCCGTTTCCGAAATGCCATGGCAATGTTGAAAAGAATCGCAAACAACAGAAAAAAAAACATTGTTTTCTCAAGAATTCGCAAGAGCGCGCGCGCGAGCTTTTTTTTGAAAACCGGTGTGGCGAAACCATGTGTTCTTGTATGTGTTTTGGACATTCGGTTTTGGAGTCGCTAAGAATCCAAACAAGTTTTTGAAGGATTCCTGCACGCGCGCGCGACGACGCGCGCGCGCACTTCGCCCCAGCTTTTGCAAGGGGTTCTCGCGACGGCACGCGCGCAAAGGCGTTCGAGCGATTTCGACATGCGCGCGCCAAGCCCGTTTGGTAGTAGTTTCTGGAAGCGCTTGTTTTTTGTGTATATATATATATATATAAATATATATATGTATATATATATATAACGCATTGTTTGCTTAAGAATTCGCGAGAGCGCGCGCATGCTGTGTCTGAGAATATGATGTTGCGACCCCTTTTGTTTTTGTATATAAGAAACATGTTTTTTGTTGGGCAATCGATTTTGAAATCCTTCCGAAACCGAAGGTTTTGAACGATTCCGGCATGCGCGCGCGACGACGCGCGCGCATTTTTTAATGCAATGCGGATGCGTGAAAACTTGCGACTCGTGATGCACGAGTGCGCGCGCATAGTATTTGTTGCAAGGGAACCGAGAGGGGGTCGATACCGGTTTGGCTGGGATAATATGAATTCAGAGGTAGAGTGGACATTGGGTCAGAATGATATGCGTTTTGCATAGGTTCCCGGGGCGTCGATAAGTCTGGGGAGGGGGCCTATGTCCTTCTTAGGAGAAGAAATACGAACCACCTTGCGCGGCGCTCGACCGCCTCCACTGCTCGCGCAAACATACCGCCCACCCACCCCCAACTTGGTTTGTACAACACACGCGGCGGCGATTGCGGTGCATGCTCGGCGCTGGCCAATGCATCCCTGCGGCCGCGCCAACCCTAGCACGCGCGCGCAGCGGCCAGCTAATCGGCGCCACCGACGCGGCCGCGGGGGCGGCGGCCGCCAGGCCGCCGGGCGCGCCCCAGCGGGCACTTCAGTGCGAGTCGGCCACTTGGGCGGGCGCGGTATCATGATGGCGACGCCGACTACGGTAGACGCGACGGCGATAGCGGCGATGCCGGCGACGATGTTCGCACTCACGAAGGCGCGGCCAGCGCGGGCGCCGACGCTGATCACGCTGGCGACGATGACGGCGCCCTCGCGTCGGCGATGGATTCCTTTGGGAAGAATTTGACACGCGCGCGCGGCCGGCGCGCGAGTGGCCCGCGTGGTTTTGCACGGCGCGGATCGCGCCCCCCCTCCCCAGCACGCGCGACAGGGCGCGCGAATGATGTCCGCATGCGGCGCCAGAGGCCCGCTCGGCAGAATTCCATGAAGATGCCGAGAAAAATGGTTTTCTAAAGAATTCGCGAGAGAGCGCGCCCAAGCTTTTTTTTGATAACTGATGTTCAGAAACCTTCTGTATATGTAAATATGTATATATAAACGTCTGGTTTTGAAATCGCTGCGACAACGATAGCTTCTAAAGCACGTCGGCATGCGCGCGCGACGACACGCGCGCTTCGCCCCATTCGTTACAGAGGGTTCTCGCGACGGCACGCGTGCGAAGGCGTTCGAGCGATTTCGACGTGCGCGCGCGCGAGGTAAGTTTGGTAGCATGTTGTGAACACGTTAGAAAGCCCATGGTTTTCTTAAGAGTTTGCAAGAGCGCGCGCTTTATACATATATATATATAATCTTCGTTGCGAAGCCATATGTTTGGAATGCGTTTTTTGGACAGTCGATTTTGGATTCCTTCCGAAACCGAGAGTGTTTGAAGGATTTCGGCCCGCGCGCGCGCGACGACGCGCGAACGCACTTCGTCTCATGTTTTGCAAGGGGTCCTTGAAAACGGCTGATGTTTGATAAACGAATATGCGCGCAATTTTTTTGGCAGAGCATGGTGGGGGCCGACTCGGCTGGGGTGGCATGGGCTCATATCTAGGATGGACGACGGGGCATAATCATATGTAAATTGCAATGCGAAAAAAGGGGGCCGATAAACCCGGGCGGGAATGGATCCGAATTCTTTCTAGAAGAGACAAAAAAAACACTTGCCGAACTTGAAGTGGTTAACTCCACTGCTCGCGCAATCGCCCCACCCACCCGCCCGCAACTTGGTTTGCCGAGCCCTTTCGGAAGCGATCGCGGCGTGCGCTGGGCGTTGGCTGGTGCATCTCTGCGGCCGCGCTGGCCCGCGCATGTTCGCGCGCGGAGCGGCAGGCTAATTCGGCGCGACCGACGCGAACATCCGGGGCCCCAAAATGCGGTCGGGACAACGTCTCCTGGTCAACTGGACCTCTGGAGCGGGAACGGCCCGAACAGCCTCTCACCCGCCGCTCCTTGGCGCCCGAGAACACGAAGAGCTCTCGCCCCTGAGGCGAGAGAGACTTGAGCGAGACCTCAGCACCCCGGCAGGGCAGCGGCGACTCAGAGGATCCCGAAACAAATGCGAAACTCGGCGAGGCGATCCCAACCGACGCCCAGAAAACCTAATCGGAACAAAACCAGCTGCGCAACTCATCCCAGATTTGCTCGTCCTGGAACTCATCTTCCAGATCAGCGCGCCGCGAGCCTCTGGGAGTTCCGGGCGCCCTCGCCCGCCTGTCACTGGCCCGACCCGGCGATCGCGACCTGGGCCTCGCTGAGATCTCGGGAAGCTGGTGGGGGTCTGTCTGGAGCTCCGCTTCGCGAGACCTCCTACTGCACATCGGCGTTTCGTCCAGCCGCCCGTTCCTGGTTGACCGTTCTATTTCAGCCACCGACGGCGCCGATCCGTGACCTGGAAGCCTTTCCTCCACCGGGGTGATCCTCGGTCTCTGAGCGGGAGGGGGAAGGCTCCGCCTCCGGCACGGGAGGAAGCGCCGAGGAAGGTCCGCCTCGCTGCTCGATCGAGCCGAGCCGCACAGGTAGCCCCGGGCACGAGGGGGACTCGATCGGAGCCGAGCCCTCGAGAGACAAAACTTGAGGCGAGGAGACGGAAGGAGGCTGGGGAGATGGGGGCACAATACAGGCTTCTTCCAGTGCTCTGGGAACGGCGGCGGGCCTCGCCGCGCCGGCTGGCTCTGGGGGCGCCTGATGAGCCGATTCTCGAGCGACCTGCTGAGCTCGCTCAGGGACCGCGGGGGAGCGGGGCCCTCGGCCTCGACGTCAACTGCGCCTGCCCGGCCGCTCGGATTCCGCAACTTCTGGCGAAGGGCGGCCACGTGGGCGGCGTCGCGAAGCTCGGCCCCCGAGCCTCGCCACGCGCGGCAGCCCGAATCTGCCCGACACTGCACTTAGGAAGACGCGCCCTCATGGCGATCCAGACTGCGGCCCCCTGTTGGAAGACACCTGCTCCTGGGCCGATCCAACGGCCACGAGCCGCCCGGGTTCCGCCCATTTGGCGTCGCCAGACATGGGCCCAGTTACTTGGGTGACTGATCGGCGCGGCGGCGAGAATTGCTGGCCCGCCGCAGCACGCCCCGAGCACCCATGCTCGCGATTGTCCGTCGGGCCTCCTCCCCGAACAAACATTTTCTCGCCAAAGCCGCCGCTGGGCCCTCCGTGTCCTGGGGCCCCTGGACAACGTCAGAAACCCCGACCTCGTCGACTGCGTCGTCGGACAGGAGAGAATGCGGCATGCGAGGGTTCTCCCCGAAAACAAATTTGGCAGGGGGGGGCCCTCCCCTGCGACAGGGCCGACTCTTGACAGCTAGCACGTCGCGGGGTAGATATTCCAGCCCCCCCCCCCCCCGATCTCTGAGCGAGGCCGCCGACGTTGCCCTGGGCAGCGCGCGCTTCACTAGACCGCCGCGCCTTTCGCACCTACCGTTGCTCCATGGGCTCTCGACGTCGCAGATGCGGCGGTGCGCCCCTAACTCCTCGAGACACCGAAATCACCCCCGCTCCGAACGCAGACCGCCCAGGCGCCATGGCGATCTCTGGCGCGCCCAGCGGGCGCATCCATCAGCGGGCCGCACCTGATCAGCCGCGGCATTTTCCAGCATCGTGAAAACCTGCAGCGAGTCCATGGCAATGAGCTCGTTAAATCTGGACGCCCCGGGAAGCCGAGCCTTCCTGCGCCAGCGAGGACAAGCCTCCGACTGGCACTGCGGATATTCCGCTCTCAAGGCACGCAAGAACTTTGATTTCCTGGGATGTCCGAGATCAACGCAAATGTTCTGGGTCACGTTTTGAACCCCCCGAAGGGTGAGCGCCCTGGACCGGACCCTTACTCTCCGAACTGGGGGGCCCTGGAACTGGAACACTGGACCCGGCGCCCCCTGGATGAGTGGGCTCACCCGGCACCTCCGGGAGCGGGTCGCCCCCCCGCCCTTGGGACCCTGAAGAAAAGAGAGATCCCCAGGAAAAGATAGAAACTCGCCTGGGGCCCTGGAAACAGGCAGAGAGAAAGAGAGAGAGAGAGAGAGATAGAGAGAGAGCCCTGCCGAGGACCCGCCGCTCAGACGCAAGCTAGATCCCGCGGCCGATGGCGGCCGCCAGCGCCGAAGGGCAACGCCAGGCAGCTCGCGCCCCCCCACCTCCGCCCAAAGGGAAATGGGGATGCTCGCCCGAGCACTAGAAGCGGCCATAAGCACGGGGCAGACAGAGAGAAAACGCGCTGGCTTCCTGGGCGACGTTCCCGGGGCGACGCTGAAACCGCGCTCGCACAGGTCGCCAGCCGCGGCCTGGGCGCCTGGAAAAGACGCCGCATGCTGCGCGGCCCATCTGCCAGCTGCCCGCCGACTCCAGATGCTCAAACCAAAACGACCTTCCCTGGGAAACCTGATGCTCAGAGCCGCTTGGGCGCGCAGCGTCATGCACAAAATGGCGCCCTGCTCCAACCTGACTCTCGCGGCAGGGGCCACGCGCGAAGCAGCGGCCCCGGCCTGGCTGAGCACCGCAAAAGGCGGAGACATGAGTGCGACGTGGGGCCTGTCGGCCTCCGTAGCTGGATCCACAATCGCTTGCGGTCCGAAGGGGGGCGAAGGCCCCTGCCTGTCTCCTGGCCAATCGAAGGCGAAACGTCAAAACCACCCCTCTGCAATTCTCCCTTCGCGCGACGGGGCCGAAAATAATTCCAGGCACAGGGCCCCCCCCCCTTTTTGTCCCCGGGGCCTCCTGGAGCGCCCTGCGGGCGCGACTCTTGCACGGCCTGACCCAGTCCCCCTAGGAGAGTCCGAGCCCCCCTGTCGCACACTCCGGGGCACACTGGCAACAAACATTGGTTCCTGGGCGGGGTCTGGCGGGGTGTCGACGAAGGCCAAGTCGGCGATGAGGGGCGCTTCTATCGGCGATGCTGAGCCCCGGGCCGCGTGACTTGTGGATGCCATGGCAATGGGCGCTCTGGTCGTTCTATCACGGATTTAAGCATGTCTTGAAAAGTATTCGGCGTGCTTCTAATTCTTCGAGGCACGTTTTAAACGCGTTTCATCTATTTAGTAGCATGTTGAACACATGTTTTAGACATCTGGAGAATGATTTGGCAATCTGCCTCCACTCCGTTGATCGTCTCCCACAGCGCTTGACTATCTGAGGCCCCGACGTCGTAGCTCGCGACGCCCCTGGCCCCGTCGAGGGCCCCCGCAGAGCCGCCCTGGACCGGCCCGGAGTCGCTAGAGGAGCCCGCCAGAGCCCACCACGTGACGACGCCTAAGCTGCTGCCCGAGAGACCGCCCACATCCTGACTAAGAGATTGGAGCGAGGGGGAGGGGGAACCGTCGGTAACCGCCATCCCGCTGCTCTGGTTCACGATTCGGATGCGCCGAGCATGAGGGAAACGATTGACTGGCCGGCTGCCAAATCTTCCCGAAACCAGAATGAACGCCCCACGCGGCCCTCTCCCTCCGAGGCAGACAGCTCGCGAAGTTTCCAACCCATCCTAAGCGCAGACAAACCCGCGTCTAAACGTTCCCCGAGCTTCAGATCCCAGGAGGCCCCGGGGCCCCTCGGGCGCCGGGTCGTCGGCGCTCGATCGACGTGGGCCGTCGCCGCAGTAAGCTCCCGGCAATCCAGTTGCCAGCCAGCCCTCCCCCGGAAAACTACGAGAGAATTCGACCGTGATCAGAGCCGCCAGTCCCGAGCGGCATATGAAGGGGGAATGGGAGCACCTCGTCGCTACATTGGCCCTCTCGGGCAGGAGGAGGCCGAGGCCCCGCCGAGCTCGGCGCCCGCGCTTGGACCGCCCGCGGCCTGACACAAGCCGCGCGGTCCGAGACCTGCTCCTCCGAGGGGTTCGTCCTCGCCTGCGCCGCGCTGGAGAGCTGGCGCGCGGCCGCGATCAGGCCGCCCGCCCGCCTCGCCCTCTCCTCGCGGCCCTCGACCATGAACCGCTGCATCCTCTCGAAGTCGGTCGCCTGGGCCCCCTGCTGATGCGGCGCCGACTTCGGGGCTGGTGGGCCTGCCTTCTCGGCCACGGGGGCCGCGGAGCCAGCGGGGCAGGCTGGGCTATCTCGGCGGGAGGCTCGAATTCCACGTGCCCCTCCTTCTTGGCGTTCTTGATGACCCTCTCCCTCCTGGCCAGGCAGCCCCGGCGCGCCTGCTCTATCTGCTGAGGGGTCTCCCTGGCGAACTCCTGCCTCAGCCTGCGCCTCGAGCACCCGGCGCGCCATCCGCAACGGTTCCCTCCCGAGCTGCGGGGCGCGAGCGGGCGGGGGCGCGTCTCCTGATCCAGCTGCTCGCCCTTGAGCTCGCGCTCTGGCCGGCGTCGCCAGCATGGCGGGGGGGCGCGCGTCGGCCGCCATGCGGGGCGCCGCGACAGCACGATGGCCCAGCGCCTCCAGAGACGGCTCGGAGGCGACAGCGCGAAACCCCCGCCCAGGGGGTCTGCTCCGCGTCGATCATGGCCCCCTCTTGGATGCTGATCTGCCTGGGCGCCCCGTCCACCCAGGGATCCGAGGGCGCGCCCCCGTCGGCGTCCGAATCGCTGTCCTCGTCCTCCAGGACCGTCTCCAGACTCTCGGACTCCTGATCCAGCGACCCGCCCGTCGAGCTCACTGCCCTTGCCCGCAGCGCAGCCAGGGCCCGCGCTGCCCTGGCCCGAGGTCGCGCGGACACTCCCGGCATCCTCGCCGGCAACATCCTTGAAGACCGAGGGCTTCTGAGCGTGGCCAGCGACGTCGGCTGGCCCCAGAGGGCATGGGCCGAAGGCCACGGAGAACGGACCAGGCGCTGCCCCACATGACCGGCCCCGCGAGACCCGCCGTTCGAAACTGGGAGGGGGCTGGGAGAGCGAGACAGCTACTTCCCTAATTATCCCGGCAAAGCAACCTAACAGCGATGTGTAGGAGCATATCTGGAAGCATTCCCCTTAAGATTCATATGAGAATCCAGTTGTAGAATTCTGTGTTCTCGCAGTCGTAGTCGCATTCGCGATGAAAGTCGCAGCGGCAACGGCAGTCGCAGTCACAGCCTCAGCCTCGGCCTGCCTCAGCCTCAGCCTGCCTCAGCCTCAGCCTCAGCCTGCTTCAGCCTCAGCATCAGTCTGCCTTCAGCCTCGGCCTCAGCCTCAGCCTCTGCCTCAGCCTGCCTCAGCCTCAGTATCAGCCTGCCTCAGCCTCAGCCTCAGCCTGCCTCAGCCTCAGCCTCAGCCTGCTTCAGCCTAGGCCTCAGTCTGCCTTCAGCCTCGGCCTCAGCCTCAGCCTGCCTCAGCCTCAGCCTGCATCAGCCTCAGCCTCAGCCTCAGCCTGCCTCAGCCTCAGCCTCTGCCTCAGCCTGCTTCAGCCTCAGCCTCAGTCTGCCTTCAGCCTCGGCCTCAGCCTCAGCCTGCCTCAGCCTCAGCCTCAGCCTCAGCCTCAGCCTCAGCCTGCCTCAGCATCAGCGTGCCTCAGCCTCAGCCTCAGCCTGCCTCAGCCTCAGCCTCAGCCTGCTTCAGCCTCAGCCTCAGTCTGCCTTCAGCCTCGGCCTCAGCCTCAGCCTGCCTCAGCCTGCCTCAGCCTCAGCCTCAGCATCAGCCTGCCTCAGCATTCAAAATGTGGCCCGGGAATGCAGTTCTGGGAACTCGAAGAACGCGAAGTGGCCTAGTTGGCTCTGGGCAATAAAAATCATGCCCAGGAATGGAATCCTGGGAACTCGAAGACCACGAAGTGGCCTACAGTTGGCTCCGGGCATTCAAAATCATGCCCAGGAGTAGAGTTCTGGGAACTCGAAGGCCACGAAGTGGCCTACAGTTGGCTCCGGGCATTCAAAATCATGCCCAGGAATGGAATTCTGGGAACTCGAAGACCACGAGGTGGCCTACAGTTGGCTCCGCGCATTCAAGATCATGCCCAGGAATAGAGATCTGGGAACCCGAAGACCACCAAGTGCGTTACTGCTTGCTAAAAAAAGGAGTCCCTGTATTCCACCGGATCCCGTCCGGATCCCGCCCAGACCCCCCCTGGAGAGTCAAGATGCTCTCTTTTGACACCATGAGAAACCTGTCAGTCATGACAAATGGCAAGACAACCCCCGACATGCCCCGCCCCTCCCCAGACAAGCCCCGACGCTGGCGGGGCGACCCGATCGTCTCCATGCGTTGCGAATTCTCCGAGATCATGCAGGTGGCCCAGTCGCACGACCAGGTCAACGGGTCCAGCCTGGCGTCGTTCAAGCTGGTGGGGCGGTACTTCCAGTTCTGCGAGGAGTGCTATAAGGACAGTGTCATCAGCTCGCGCGCCTTCGGCTTCGATGGCGACGAGCAGTTCTTCATCGCGGGTATTCAGTCGACGCGCGGGATCACGGTCGCCCCCGCGTTGTTGGCGTGGATCGCGAAGCAGCTGGCCGCCGAGTCGGCCATCGCCAAGGAGCGCCGCAAGGCGCGCGAGGAGAGGCGGCTGCTCCCCCCCCCATGCCAGCGGCGGCGGCGGCGGCGGACGCGTCGGCGGCGGCGGCGGCGGCAAGGCTGCCAAGTCGCAGCCGCCTCCCGACGCAGTGCTTGCAGCGGCCGCCGGGGCATCGGCCGCCCCGGAAGGCCTCCTCCTGGCCCGCCGCTCCTGCTGTCGAGGTTTCCTCGCCATGGCTGCCAGTCGTCAACGACATTTTTTTCCCCTTCCTTGCGAGCTGGTGACGAGTCAGCCGCGCGCGCCCGGATCGCCGCCTGGGCCAACGACGGCATCGACGCGCTCGGCCGACTGGTGGGCGGCGGGTCGCATCCCGCGCGGAAGCGCCCAACGGTTTTGCGGCGCCAGCTCCTCGACTGCATCGCTGACCAATATTTCATGTTCGGCGGAGCGCCTGCTGACGTCACCCCCCAGAACTGCCTAGCCGACCTCTGCTCTAGTTGCCCGCTCTACACCTCGGGGCGCGGCGCCCTGGCATCCTATTGCAAGGGCAAGGACCTGGTGTCGTGGCCTTGCGGTGGCTCGGCGCCAGCGGCGCTTGAGGCTCCGGGCCGGCCGTTGATGGCTGCAGGATTGGCAGGCCCACGTGCTGATCCCGCTGGCGGAGGCAGCTGCTCTGCGTCGCGATCTCGGCCTCCGTCGACCCTGCATCGATCCTAAGCTGCGCCATCCTGCCATCTGCGGCGTGTTCATTGCCGCGCTGCGGGGGCGCGGGGTGCTTCGACTCTCGCCAGCTGGAGCCCGCCAGGGCCGGCTCGGAATGTTCGTCGTGGCAAGAAATCCAAGCAGCAACGCCTGGCATTCGACTCTCGGGTCACCAACGCCCGATTCAAGCCGCCCCCCTGCGCCGAGCCTCCCAGCGGCGGCGACGCTTTTTCAGCAGCGGGGACATTTCCAACGCCGTCTACGCCATGCAGTTGCCGGAGGGCCTCTGCGAGTACTTTTCCATGCCGCCCGCGCGGGCTGGGCTGGCTGGTGTTTTTGCTTTGGACGGCGTCGCCGTCCGCAAGTCGGACTGGCTGCTGCCCGAGCTCGCCGTTCTCCCCATGGGCTGCTCCTGGGCGTTCTATGCCGGTGCGTCACCGAGTCGGCGCTGGCGCGTGCCCGCGTGGCCTTCGAGCAGCAGGTCCGCGACCGCAGCCTCGCATCAGGCTCGGCTCGCGGCGCCCCGCCAGCGGCGCGGCCTACGTCGACGACTACCTGGTGGCTGCCTGGCAGCGCGCGAAGGTGCGGGCGGTCACGGGCAAGGTCGAGCGCGGGCTCGCGTCGCCCGGCATCGTGGCGCACGAGCAGGTCGACGCGACCCGCCAGGCCTGCTTCGTGGGCCTTGACCTCGACGGAGAGGAGCACGCCGCGCGCGTCTCTGTCTGGCGCGCCTAGCGGCTCCGCTTTGCCATCAAGAAGCTCTTGTGTCGCTCCTAAGTGCGCGGCCCGATCCTCGAGGTCGTCGTGGTCCATTGCGTCTGGGTCACGCTGCTCAATGGGTGCTCGCTCGCCATCTACGACGCCGTCTGCGCGTTATTCGTCGTCTTCGCCGAAGCGGAGTGGCGCGGCGAGGTCGCGGCCAGCGACGCCTCCAGCTTGGGCCGCGGTATCTGCCGCCGCTGCTGCGCGCCCGGGGGCGTCGCCGAAGTGGGGCGCGCCGATGAGAGGTGGCGCTGCCTCTTCGAGGACTCGGCCCGCCCGCGACACCCCATGCTGGGGTCGGCCCGCGCGGCCGCCGCGCTGCGCGACCCTGGGCGCCTGCCGTCCGAGGAGGCCAAGGACTGGGGCAAGTCTTTCGGCGAGGTCGACCCCGTCCTGCTTGCTGGGGGCGGCTGGGCGGTCGCCCGCTCGCTCCCCGGGCGCGACGCCTTCGACGTCTATCGCGCCGAGGGTCTGGCCGTCAGCTCCGCGCTCTGGCGCCGGCATCGAGTTGCCGGGGCTTTCGGCAAGCGCGTCGCGCGCCTCGTCGACAACGCGTCGCTCGCGTTCGGCATGGGCGCGGGGCGGGGCGCGTCCGCCCAGCAGCGCAGCGTCCTCTAGGAAATCTGCGCCTTCTCGCTGGGGCGCAAGCTCCACGTCGTCGCCCGCTGGGCCCCTAGCGAGCTCGGACCCTCCGACGGCCCCTCGCGCGAACTGCCTTGCGTCGCGCCGTTTGACCGCGACATTGTTGCCGGACTTGGTGATCGCCCTCTCCCTCAGCCCGGCTTGCGCCGGCAAGAGCGGGCGCCCAGCGAAGCCCCCGATGCCAATTGGCCGCCCAGGCCTCGTCGCGCTCCAGGGCGCTGGCACGGGGGTCCTCGCGGCGCCGGCGTCGGCGGCTGCGGCGGCCCGGCAGTGCGAGGCCCTGCGGGGCGGGCTCCTGGTGAGCCTCGCCTACCTCGAGCAGAGGTCGATCGGCGAGCCCGCGCGGGCCGACTGCAGGAGGCGCGCGGGTGCCTTCATCGCGCGGTGCTCCGAGCTCCACCTGGGCTGGAGCGACTGGCGCCAGCTGGGCGCGATTGTCGTGACCTACTTCGACTTCCTGTATTTCCAAGTCTACGGCGGGGACGACGCCTCGCGTCTGCTGGCGGCCTTGAAATTTGCCCCCCCTCCCATCGGCCGATGGGGGGATCAGACGCTGCGCCGCGCGTCGCGCAGCCTTGCGGGCTGGGGCTAGGGCGTTCTCTGGCGCGCGCGGACGCCGCCCCCTTGGCTGGCGGTCGCGGCCATGGCGGGCGTCTTGCCGGGGCGCGGCCAGATCGAGCAGGCTATCGCGATGATCCTCGGCGCCGCCTGCTACCTGCGCCCCTCGGAGTGCGACCTCCTGCCTGCGATGCAGGTGGTCGCCCGCGTCGCGGGGGCCGCCAGGGGGCGATGCTTCGCCGCCTTGATGCTGCGCCCGGCAGAGCTCGGGCGCCTGGGCAAGACGGGCCTCTGGGACTTCGCGATCGCCTCCGACGCTGCTGGGGCTCAAGCGGCGGGCCGCGTCGCGCGCGTGGTTCTTCCCGCCGGCGCCCCTGGGGGCTGCATGAGGGGCGCGGCGTCCGCCCTCGGTCTGACGGACTTCCCAGCCCCGGCACGCGGTCTGCGCCGCGGCGAGGCCTCGGGCGACCACTTGGCCAAAGGGCGCCAGGCCCTGGAGATGCAGCAGCGCGGCGGCTGGGCCGCCGACGAGAACTACTGTCGGTGGGCGAAGCAGGCCCGGATCATCACCGAGCTGCAGCGCGCCCGGGCTCGCGTCGTCGCCATCGGCCAGGAGGTGGGCGCGGCCCTGCCAGTGATCTCCCTGGGCGGCGCCCCGGCTCCCGCGCAGTCGCGGACCTCGCTTGCGCCGTAGAGCATGCGGCCGCTTGCGAGGGGGGCCTTCGAATAAGTCCATGCATCGCCATCTCCCGGGAGAGCTTCACAGCAGCTTCAAGTTGCAGAACGGCCCCCCTCGCGCCGCGGCCCTGGAGGTGTCCGCGGGGTCTGCCGGGCTCTGGTCTGCCATCCGCAGCCAGGGGATTGCAGCGTTGCCCGTCGAGTTCGCGACAAACCGCGGTTCAATCTCGACCTGCCAGTCGGTTAATGTGACCAACCTTATATATATATATATATATATATATATAAGGAAGCGGCACGATTAAAACAAAAGTTTCCCTGGGGGGGGGCGCGCGGGGCGCGATTGGGCGCCGCGACGCCGGACGCTTTGAGCCCAGGGCGGCGGCGAAGCGGGCGGCGGCGCCGGCGGGGGGGGGGGGGCGGAGGGGAAGAGAGCGGGGGAGGGGGAGGCCCGAGGTGGTTCCCCTCGCCGCCCCTCCCCCCCTCTCCCCCCCGCCATCCCTCTCCCCCCATCCTCCCCTCTCCTCCCCGCCTCCCCTCTCCCCCTGACAGGCGGCGTCGGGCAGCCCGCCGGCCCCGCGACCGCGCGCGCCTCCTCGGTCCAAGAAAGGCACCCCTCACGCGGACCACGGGGTCTGAGCGAACAGGGGGTTGGGACGGGCAGTCACGACCCTCGCCCCCCTCCCGCACTCAGGACTGGAGGGGAAGGGGGTCGCGACCTTCGCCCCCGCCCGCGGGGGCCCCCATTCGCCCGCGAACAGGGGGTTGGCACGAACGTTCGCGACCCCCCCCCCCCCAGCCGCGGCCGCGGCTGAGGGGAAGCGGGGTCGTGATCATCCGGGCGCGGGGGGCCCCATTCGCGGGCCCTCCCCGTCCCCTTTCCGCCCCCTCTCCTCCCTTCCCTCCCTCCTCCCCTTCCCCCCCCTCCCCCCGAGAAGGGGGGGTGGTAGGATCTGCGCCCGAAGAATGCCCGGTGCTTCCCAATTTGGCAGGCCCGCGTCGTCAAAGGGCTTGGCGGCCGGCAGAGCAAAGGAAGGAAGGGAGAGGAGGGGGGGAGGGGGCCGTTCGGAGGCCTTCGGCTGCCCTCCCTCGGAACCCCTCGGAGCCCTTCGGCGGCCTTGCCTTCGGCGGCCCTCGGCGGGCCTTCGGCAGCCTGTGGCTGCTTTCCCGTCCTCCGCCTCCTCACCCCCCTCTCCCCCCTCCCGTTTTGTTCCTGGGTGCGCGGTGTTTCCGACAAAAAGAAACCATAAATGGGATACACACTTAAACATAATAATAAAAAACGGAAGCGGAAAAAGAGAAAGAAAAAAACTGGCAGAGGCGGGGCGAGGGTAGTGGAAGGACGCGATTTTGTTTTAACAGAAAAAAATCCGGGCGAAAATCCTACTCGGGGCGCCCCTTGTTTCTGGGGGGGGGGGGGGGGGCGGGGAGGGGGGGCGCATTTTTGGAATCACGTGGTCGCATTAAGCGCGCGCCTGCGTGCGCAAAGCAAGAGGAGAGGGAGGAAAGGAAAGGAGGGCGAGGCAGTGCGAGGACGAAGGAGAGAAGGACATTTTGCCCGGGCGGCCGCAGCGGCCCCCTGGCCCCCCTTCGGGGGCAGGGCCGCGCGCGGGAGCGAGGTTGTGGGCGGGTGGCCAACTCGTCTCGAGCCTCGCGGCTATGGGACCAAAATGGAGCGCCCTTTCCCCCCACGTAACCTACAGTCTTCACCGGGCCAGACTAGTAAGTTAAGTGCGTGCCTGCGTGCGCAAAGCAAGAGGAGAGGGGGGAAAATAAAGGAGGGCGAGGCAGGGCGAGGACGTGGGAGAGAGGGGCATCTGGTCCGGGCGGCCGCAGGTCGCCTTCAGGCCCGCAGCGCGGCCCCCTGGCCCAGCCCCAGTAAAAGCCGCGCGATGCCGTCGGTGCTGGCAGAGGGAAGCGCGCCAGCGCGGGTGCCGGGGAAAGAAAAAGACGGGGGGGCGGCGAGCGGGGCTAGCCGGCCCCGCCTCGCGGGCTAGGCCCTGGCCCGCCCCTGCATCGCCCCCCCGCGCTCGCGCCGCGGGCGGTGCGGGACTCCGGGCGCGCCCGCAGCGCCGAAGAAAAAGAGCGAGGTTCCGGGGTCGGACATGCCTGGTGCAGTGCGCGGGCGCAAAAGCGAGCCGGCGACGCGCGACAGCACGTAAGTCAACTGCGTCCGCCTACTGGCGGGGGCTCGAGGCAGCGCAGGCCCCCGCTCAGGACGGAAAAGCACCGATCGAGCCGCGTGCCGCTCGCGCGAGTGCTCGGGGAAGGGAGAGGGCAGAAAGCGAGACGCGCCCCGGGCTGCTGCGCCTCCCACGCAGGAGCTCGGCGCAGGGCTAGACCTCGCCCTCGCGATGCCCTGGGGGCTGAGACCGTCTGCCAGCGGGAGCTCGAGGCAGCGCTGGCTCCCGCGCAGGACGAAACAAACACCGAGCTGCGCGCCACTCGCACGGGCGCTCGGAAAGAGAGGGGGCGGAAAGGAGAAGCACGCCCCAAGCTGCTGCGCCCCTCGCACAGGAGCTCGAAAGCAAGGCTCGACCTCGCCCTCGCGATGCACTGGGGGCTGAGAGCCATCTGCTGGCTCGAGGTGCGTTCGCGTGGGCGCGCTGGGCGGCGCGTGCAGCGTGCGGCGCAGGGCGTCACGGGCGCGCGCGGTTTGGCTGTGGCCCCCGCCCTCGCCGCAGCTCCTCCTGGGGGCGGCACTGGGGCCCCGCCCTTTGCCGCGCGCCTTCCCGGCGTGGGGGGCCCACTCTGGGCACGTGCGCGGCTGCCCAGCGGCAGTGCGCTCGCGCTCGCGGCGCCGCCCCTTCTTCTCCCACACCTGCTTCCCGCCGCGCGGGGCACGCGCCTTGTTGGCCCGGCGCTTCTTGGGCGGCCGCTCCCGGGGGAGCGGGGACTTGTCGTCGCTGGCGCTGCGCGCCCGCCCCCCCGCTCCTCCGCGGCTCCTGCTGCGGGGGGGGGCGGTGCGCTGGGGCGGCCCTCTCCCCGCGCGCCCGGTCGGGCCGGGGGCTCGCGTCGCGGGTTGCCTCCGCGCTCTCGCCTCCCCTGCGGCGCGCGGGGCTCGCCCCGCGGGCACCTCCTCCTCCTTCGTCTCCTCCTCTTCCTCGCCGCTAGACTCGTCGCCGCTGGCCACCGGCCGCAGGTGGCAGCTGTCGCGCATCGACCCGCGGCACGACGGGCAGCGCCAACGGTGCAGCCCCGCGTTGCGCGCGCCACCAAAGCAGCCCCGCTCGCCGAGGCTGCGCCCCCACCCCCCTGGGCTGCGGTCGGCCGCCGAACTCCACCGGAGCTTGTCGCAGCCGGCGCACGACGGGGGGGGCGCGGCTGGGGCCCCCCCATCTGATGGGGCACTGGGACCGCGCTTCGCTGGCCCCCCTCAGCCGCACCTGTGGGTCGCCGCGCCCCTCCCAGAACACGTACCGCTCGTCGATCTCGCGCTGGGCCCTCGCCGCGGCTGCCCCGGCGGAAGCTCCGACGAACTCCGCCAGGGCCGCCCCCTCCCGCTTCTGGCGCGCGTCGAGCAGCCACCCGATGTACCCGAGGTGCCCGCGGCGGCAGAGGGCGAACTTCACGTCCTCCGCGGTGGCGTCGGCGGGGGCGCGCGAGAGGCACATCACCTTGGGCTTCTCACTCCGCCCACGCCGCGCGGCCTCTCCCTCCCGAGGCGGCCCGGCTGGCCCCTGCCGACCTGCTGCGGGCGCCCGCTGAAGGGCGGCCGCTGGGCGCGGGCCGCCGGCGGTCCGCCGAGGAGCGCCAGCGGCGGCGCCGCTCCCGCGGCGGCGACGGGCTGGGAACCTGCTCGCGCTTCTCGTTCCCCCCGACCCGCCGCGGTGAGCTAGTCGGGTGGCGGGGGGCGCCCTTCGGCCTGGGCCCCATCCGAGGCCGGGATGGAGCCTTGGAGAAGGCGGCCCTCTGGAGGTCCCGCGCTTGCTCCACCGCCTCCGCTGGGGCGCCTGCTCCGCGGGCGGACTTCACTTCGATGCCCTCGGCGGCCTTGGGGTCGAACTCCTCCACCAACCTCAAGGGCGTCGACCGTCTCCAGCTCCCCCCCCCTCGGGTAGCACGGCGAAGGTCGCCACTGCCAACGCCAGCTTGGCAGCCCCAGCGCGGCGGGCCTTGTTGGGGGCCGACCCCGCGCCCCACAGCCCGATCATGCCCGCCGCGTAGTAGGCCAGGCCGAACTCGGCGTCGCATCCCACCACCAAGGCTTCCGCCGCCAGGGCGGGCGCCTCCTCGTGCAGGCGAAAGAGCGGGGGCACTGCCTCGCCCCCGCGCCCGAGCCTCCGCGGGCACTCCCGCTGCGGGCGGCCGGGGCGCTCACCGTGCGCACGGCGGGGGCCCCGACCGAAAGTGGTTGCGGTGGCACCCCGCGTTGTGCTGATCCGTCTTCTTCGAGGACGTGATCGTGAGCGCGACCTCATCGCACTCCTCGAGCCAGTCCTGCGGCGTTCCGTTCGCCAAGCCCTGGACGTCGGCCCCTCGCGCGACCCGCTCCCGGGGCCAGGTCGCCCCGCGCTGCAGGAGATACTCCGAGGCACGGAGCAGGAAGAAATAGCCCGTGGCCAGGGCAGCCCAGAGAGCCGCGGCGTCCCGGGGCGAATATGCCCCCTCGCGGCGCAGGTACTCACGCAGCCACGATAGCATCCGCGGCGTCACCGGGAGCTTCCGATTGACCTTTCCACCCCAGCGCCCCAGCCCTTCGAGGGTCGTCCAGAGACGCCGGCGGTCGGAGGTGGCGCCCTCGAAGCCGGCGAGGGTGTGGGCGTAGCGGATGACGAAGAGGCGCTGTCGGATCGTCGTGGCACGGCGCTTCATCACCTTAGGTCGTCCTCGTCGGCGAGCCTGTCGTCGCGGCTCTCGCCCTGGAGATAAGGGCTGCGCCCCCGCAGGCGACGCCGCAGAGCCCAGTTCCGCCAGCCTGCCCGGTGCATGGCCCGCGTGCCCTCGGCTAACTTGGCCGACGTGGCGTTTGTGGACACCGGGTCCAGAGCCCGGGGTCTCGCCAATCGGCCAATG